CGTCTCCTTACACTCTGTGCACATTCAGTGAAGCCCATTTCCTTCCCCTTAGATCAGTTTCCACCACTTCTCCATGTAGAGAGATGTTGGAAACTTAGAAACGAGCCTCCAGTTCTGATCTCCCTGTTTCTGTGGAGCTGGAAAACCTGGCATTGTTGCAACTCCTCCCTCCTCTTGCTCCTTCTGATTCTTCAGAACATCTGCCAAGCACCATCTCCTCTTCACGTTTGTCCCAGAAACGCGCAGACTTTGGGGTCAGACCACATGGCTTTGAGCCTTGGCTCTGCCAGTGAATAGCTGCCTGAACTTGAGGAAGTTGCTGTATTTCTGAGTTTCGGTTTGACGCCACCAGCACTGTCCAGGCTTCTCGTGAGGACTAACGAAACAGGAGGAGGGGAGCAGCAGAGCGCCTGGAGGCGTGCCCTCGGCCCCCGGGCTCTGGGCCGCCTGCCTCCCCGTGGTTTCCTCTCCGTGGCAGCTCTGCGAACCTGTCCCCCATCACTCCCGGGTCTTTGCGTCTGCGTTGTCCCCAAGCCCAAGTCCCAGCTCTTTAGGCAGCCTTCCAGACGTCCCACTGCGGTCCGGCCCCTCCGCCTGCTCCTGGGCCAGTCCACGCGGTGCTTTCCTGCCGTCGCACCTTTGACGCTCCCCACCCTTGACCCCCCCACCCCCCTACCTGGCCAGGCAGCCCGGGGTCACCTCTCCTGGCTGAGCCCCGCCCTCCCTCCCCGCGGAGACTGCACAGAGCTCGCTCTCAGCCTCCTTTCAGCTCTTCACACTCTCGAGCTGTTTCCTTGGTGACTAACCCCAGACGCCCAGCCACCCACCGCACTGCCTGGACTGTCCTGTACTGAGGCCTCAGCTTCCCAACCGTGAAAGTTCCTCAAAGGCAGGAAATAAATCACACACTTTAAGGTGTCTCTGCACATGGTGCAGAGCACGTGGTAGTAATCTGAATGTTAATTTACAACAGGCAGAGGAGGCTGACGTGCTCCTGGCTCTACAGGAGAGCAATTCCCAGGCCGGGTGGATCAGGACGTGACAGAGTCCGACCCACGGGCCCGAGGCTCTGGCACGCGTGGGCACGAAGGCTGTCCAACCTGCAGCCTCGATCAGCTCCCAAACTGGAGCTGTCAGCATGGCTGGCGACCCCCGCTGCGAAAGCCTCCTTTGTCTCCGCCGGAGAATTTGCAGACATAACTGGATGAATAGTGTTTCCTTATTTCTATGTGGAGGAAAAGAGATAAAGCCAAACCACACGGCATGGACCTAAGGCGCGGCTGGCGGGGAAGGTCTGGTTTTAACCCCCTCCCACTTTCTTATTTCCCTTCCGACTTCTAGCCTCTGTTCTAACTGTTGGCTTTCTTGGGGAGGATTTCTTTTTTAAACGAGTACAGTTTTGTTTTGATTTCTGTTGTTTTTAATGCATCTTCTTACTGAAAAGGGTGAGAATACAAGAGAACAGCTCCCGTTACCCGTGGCCCGCTGTTGCTCAGCTCCCGACCTCCAGTTGCAGTGGCTTAAGCAGCGGTTCAGTGCCATCCCTCCTGGCCCTGGGCCGGCCGGGCGCAGCCGAGCGGCTGTCAGGAGGGGCCCGTCACGCAGTCGCCATCAGAGGATGCCGAGGCCCAGCCTCCGAAACCCCAGGCCGTTACTTCCATATCCTTTTGGCCAACAAGTCACCAAGGCCAATCCAGACCCGGGAAGGAAAGAGATTTCACTCCCGACATGCGAGCGGTGTGTCGCTTTGGAGGTAGGGGCGTTGAAGCCGGCATCTCCGAAGACTAGCTGCCACAGGTCGGGAGCGTCTCGTTAAGGTGCAAGCAGCACGCCGTCAGCGAGGCTCCTCGGCCAGGTCGCGGCGACCCCCGGGCTGCGGCCGCCCGAGCGCGGCCGGACTGTGCGCCTCAGAAACGCCGCGGGCCACCGCCCACGGGCCGCAGGCGGCTGGCGGGTACCCGACGCAGGGACTGGCTTTCGTTCTGTCTATTTATTGGCGTCGAGTTGCTTCACCATGCAGTGCTAATTTCTGGCACGCAGCTCAGTGATTCAGTTACACGTACATACATATTCCTGCCCGTACTCTTTCCATTACAGGCTATTACAAGGTACTGAATACAGTTCCCTGTGCTGTACAGCAGGACCTTGCTTTTATCTGTTTTGTATGTAGTGGTGTGTGTCGGCTAATCCCAAACTTCCAGTTTGTCCCTCCCTTTCCCCAGGTGACCATACGTTTCCTGGTTTCCGTTTGTTATCAGTGAGGACCGAGGTCCACAGAAATGCTGAAGGGCATCGGCTTTATCAGCCAGACTCCCACCAGCAGACACTGGTCCTCTGCATGTCATGCATCTTTTGAAATAATCCACCAAGTTGAAAATGTTTTAAATCCTTGCCATCTCCCAAAGGAACACTCAATATCAATCATGAGGAAGTCAACACGATTGAAAACCTTTCTTCCCAAAATGGCTGCCTAAAATCATTTTAATTTTTATAATTTAAAAATTTATTTATTCACCAGCTACAGACAACTCCTAAGTGCCTGTTTTCCCTTTTAAATTCTTCTTCCTTCTCGGGGGAACTGACTTGTATTCTCTACCGTGTCTGCAAGTCCGAGACCCCTTTTCTTTCTAAGTTTCAGGGGACCCTGCCATTGGGCGGGCTGCCTCCCCCGCCTGGGGTGAAGCCCGCAGTCGGAGTGAGCGGTCCGGGGGCTCGGGGCTGCGCGGAAGCGTTGCAGCCCGCCCGGCACAGAGCTCACAGCCTGTGACTGTGCTGCTGATTCACCTGACTGTCATTGCACTTGATTCTGAACGAGAATTTCACAGCTATTAGCAGATTTTCAACCTGGAAATTGTTTAGAAGTAAGGCCCGCCTGTACCATGTACTTCTTGCTTTTTACGCACCTCTCGACATCATGCAAGTGAGCAGCGGTGTCTTAAGTTTGAGGGCGATTAAGTGAGGGTGAGATCCCATAGGACCTTGATGGAGAGAGAAAACAAAACGGATCTGAGCTTCCCAAGGGTGACACGGAACTTGGGTTCACTTTGAAGTTCAGAAGGAGTATTGAGGCCAAGGGCATGCGAGGCGCCCCACAGGCCACACGTCCCACGGAGTGGCCGCCTCGGGGTGGGAGGCCCAGGGCTGGAAGCCGTCAGAGGCCACGTCCAAACTCTCAGCTGGTCTCTTTCCCGCCCGGGTCAGCGAGGGCGCAGCTGGGGAGGCGGTCACTCCTGGGGGGCGGCTCCCCCTCCCGCCTCTTTGTGCTTTTCCCACGGGAGGTCCAGCCTGGTGATGAAGCTTGCTATCCCAGGGAAGGAGCAGGGTTGAGCCTCTTGGTCCGTCAGCCTCTCTTTCTCAGCAGGCTGAGTTCGACCCAGTGTTCTTTCTTGGCGCCCCGCGAAGTCGACTCTAGGGCCATAATTAGTGACGGGAGGGTTTGCCCCCCCGCCTTCATGCTAAGGAGCATCCGCGGGGATGCTGGAGGGGCCAGGTGGGAAGGGGGGCTGGGAGCGTCCATGCCTGTGGTGCCCGTGTTCCCAAGCGTTTCTTCCTCTGCGAGGAGCTGGGTGCCAGCAGCAGTCCTTCCAGCAGCTTCCACCACAGCAGAAAGGAGCTTCTCCCCTTACTCCCCGCCGGATCAGCCCTCCCGGGTCAGGACGCTGAGGGAAGTCACGTGGAGGGTTCCTTCAAGGAGAGGAGCGGACAGGCACCCTGTGTCCATGGGGGATCCTAAGCTCCATCAAAGAAAAGCAACTCAGGACCCGGACAGGGTGTTATTCAAAAGGGCTGTCGGGAGGGAGGAGGGGAGGGAGGACTGTGGCAGTGGGACCCTGTGCCCGAAGGCCTGCATGCATCTCAAAATCAAGCAGGGAAAAGCTTTCCTTTTAGAGCATCAGGGAAGGAAACTCCAGAGGGACACGACCGGTGATGGCCAGGAAAAGGGTCCTGCTGTGCTCAACCAGTTCCCGAGAGGCTCTGACAAGGCGGCAGGTTCCACGCGTTTTTGCCGTTCAGGCCTGGGGACAGGCGGGTTCAGGGGTCTGTGGGAAGGAGAAAGCCCTGACTAACGTTCAGTCAAGACACAGCGGAGGGAGGGCAGGCTGCGGGCGGCGGCGGACGGTGGTCAGCACGGTGAGAGGAGGAAGCCAGCTGGCTCAGGTGGCGGGAAAGGCTTGTGTTCCATTGATCTTGCTATCAGACGTCGCTGTGCAATTTCCTCTAAAACTGTTTCCTGAGACTCGAATCACACAACACGCTACATGCTGGTGACCACCTCTATGGTCCCAGAGTCCTTCTTGCCTTATTTTTTGCTATTTTTTAAAAACTACTTGCACCTAAAAATGAGCTCCCCACCCGATCATCAGGTGCTGTCCCTGCTGTCAGCCGCCACATTTAGTGACCAGGCACTCATCAGGTTTGTCACCTGCTGTCTCGTAAAGATCACGTGCCTGACTTTTCAGGGTCTCCCGTTTTTCTTTTTCTTTTTTAAAATTGAGGTGTAATTGACATGTAACACTGTAGCCATTTCAGGTGTACAGCAGAATGATTCAGCGTTTGCATATATTGTGAAGTGATCACCACAACAAGTCTGGTTAACGTCCATCACTGTGTCGGGGCACTGGCCTCCCTGCATCACGTGGGTCATCTGGTCTTTACCGTGCAGAGGACGGAGTGTGGGGTGCGGAGGGCGCACAGCTTACGGGGTGGGCCCAGGCGGGGGCCCCAGAGGCTGCATCGCTCCCCGCCGTGCTCACCTGGCCTTTTCTCACGTTTCCGCGCCTTCCCAGGCAGCCCGCGGTGCCCTTGCCCACAGAGGTCGCAGAGCGGGAGGCAGAGCACAAACCCTCGCCGCACCGGGACTAGCCACGCACGGTCATTCTTCTCTAGCCCAGTGACCAGCTTCACCGCCGGTTCCAGGGAGTCATATGACTACTTTATCACCTACAGGATATAGATGGTTAACCAGCTGTATTTGGGCAAATAGGCGTTCCTTGTACATAGGAAGTGGTAATTCAGCAATTTGCTTTTGGCTAATTCTGGTTTCTCACTGTTTTTTTCTTAATGACCATTAGAAAGTACATCTTGTTAGGAGAACCACACGGGTGCTGTGCATGCCTGGGGCGTCGTGGGGGGCGTGAACCGGACAGCTCACTCTGGATCACGGCGTTTCTGAAGGTGAGCGTGGCTAAGCCCCCTCCATTCCTTTCAAAACTGTCCTTTCTTCTCTGATGCCCACAAGTAAGGAGTGTGAGGCATGGAACTGGTTTTCTCTTAGGAATTCCAGAACGCTGGCCTGGTGCCTGTGTTTGCTCTTAATGAAACACTTGCACTTTCACAAATGCGGTGCCCTTATGGTTTGAGGAAAAGTACTGTGCCTTCAGGAAGCTCACCTTTCCTCTAAATGCACAGTAAGTGACTTCAGTGTAACTGCCTCGCAGTAGCTTGGGGGATGGTCTGGGCAATGCTGCCTCGTCTGGTGAACATCCACGGGGCAGCGCTCTGGAGAGGAGTGCGCTTCTTCCTTTGACTAAGTGCACACAAAGAGTTTGAAACAGTAAAACATAAGCTAAGGTGTTTTGGAGGCAATGCAAACAAAGTGACGCATTCAGTGAAAGGGAAGGAGCGAGCATCCCCAGGAGCTGGAGGTGGGGTGGGCGGAGGTGTGAGAGGGGAGTCACTTTGGAGAAAGTGATTGGAAATTGTTATGAGACTCAGGGCAACACAGAAAGAGCTCTGCTCATGGCTGCAAACGCCACAGTGATTATGGAGTTAGTGTCTCGTGACCACAAAAGCACACAGCGACCTTGAAACGAGCGGGCCTGGGAGCCCCTCGGAAGCCTGTGTGGTTGTAGGAATGGGTCCTGGAGGGCTCAGTAATGTGAAGAAACAGAGGCAAGATCTGAATTAATTAGTCATTAAATCTTGAAATGATTAGAGGTGTGATTTCTATTAATGAAAATATGTAAGTGAGCTTCCAAAGGAGCAAACGGAACCAAAAGAAAGAAGAACAAAAAATACAAACCTATATACACATCACTGGAAAAAACCTTCTGGCTTCTTTCTTAACCACTTTTATTCAAAAGCAGAAGGAAGCCAGCGCAGAGTTTCAGCTCCACTGATGTTCATCTAAAAAAGGATAAAAACAGGACCTGTGGTTCAGATAAATTAAGAGAACATACCTTTAATGCACACCTACCTTTAGCAGTATGTGTGGTTCTGATACCTATAAGAGGTTCTGAAAACGGATGTATTATTTAAGATCTTGTGGGAATGTCACAGTCTGTCTAAGACGTGCTGGAGACAAGGTGAACGGTCTGGTGCGTAAGAGACTCGCAGCCCGAGAGGCACCGCAGTCTTCCTGCCTGTGAAAGGGTGTAAGTCTGCCTCGGAGGGTTTTCCTGAGGTTAAAAGCGATAGCAGACACAACGCAGTGATCTCGGTGCCTGGTGTGTAACTAGAACTTAAAGCAGGCACACCCACCCTTCACAGCAACGTGCACTGCACACGCATGCACGCAGCACACAACACAACATTCATATATGCCCATGCACATGATGTGACACATATACATGCACACGTGCACACACATGCCTGTGCACACTGAACATACAGACACACACGTGCACACGCGCACGCAGAATCTCCCTGAGTTCCTGCTCCTTGTCCCACGGGCTGTCACTGTTTATGAAATAAGCACAGATGTAAAGTCTTCTGCTTGAGCTGTAACCAAATGCTAAACTTGGTATTAAACGTGTTTAAATCAACATTTTAGCACAGGTCTCCTTACTGATGGAATATCAGTATTACCATATTGTTAATATTATTAAACTGTTCTTATTATAGACACAAAATACTAGTAATGTTTTCCCCACATTCAATTTTCTTGGGTAGACGCTGCCCTTCCCTTGGCCAAATGGACGAACAATCCAAGGAGGTGGGGGAGCCGCCCCTTCTGCTCCCAGCCCCTCCCCACCTCTCGTCTCCGGGGCCCTTACTTCCCTCTTGCTGCCTCCCCCTCCTGGGCCCAGCAGACAGCAGACCGGTCATTTTCCCTGAGAGTCTGTCCTCGGCCCACTGGTACCAACGAAGACGCTTGTTGCTTGTGACCTAAACTGTGTCCTGCATGGCCCTGGCGCTGGCCCTCTGCGTGCGACCAGAGGACTTCCAAAGCCCTCAGAGTCCAGCGAAGGGGACTCTGTGCAGTGGGGCCCCAGGGGGCGGCCGCTGGTGGATTCAAGGGCGGCTGGGTGGGGGGAGGGACCCCCACCTGGCGTTTTATCTTAAACCGCGTGGCGTGGTCACGACCCTCGCCTCCGGCCCACTGGACCTCTTCTGACGTTCAGGACGTGCGTGACTAGGCATTCTTTTCATTCTGAATGACGTCGTCAGTCAGCTGTTAGTTTCTGAGACGCTTTGTCTCGCATGCTGTGCCGAGTGAAAACGGTGCTAGGGCGCCGCATTAGGTGGCGGCAGGGAGAATGCACGCAGACATTTTAAACACTGTGTTAAAATGTGGCTCTGATTAAGTAACAGCAAGTTTCCTTGAAGTAACACTTTCTTTCCATGTGTGGTAACTAAGTCTTTGAGACGTGACCATGGGAAGGCAGAGGCCGTCCCTGCAGGGACATACCTTGCGCTGGGGGCTCTCAGCACATTGACTTTTCATTTAAAAGGTTATCTATTTTTATGGTTTCAGACCTTAAATGCCAAAGTCATATGAAGGGTGAACTTATCACTATGTGCTTCTCAAAGAGGAAGAATCGTCATTCAAAGACGCCTCTTCTGATGACAGACGATTTCTAAGGGTGTCCAAGAGGAGAAGAGAGTCGGTCAGGACTTGGCTCAAGGCCTGCAGAGTCTCTGTCTCACGCAATTTCTGAGTGGTGGATGCACTTCTAGCTAGAGACTGACTTGCTGCCTGAAGACGGGGGGGTCCCTTGGCCTGCCTTGGTGGCACCCCACACACCCACCACGGGGGCAGGAGAGAGGCTGTGAGCTCGAGTGGGGGTGGAGGGGCGCCCGGCACGCGCGCTCGTCTGAATGAGGGAAGGAAGGGCCGTCTCCTCTAGGTCAGCTTTCCCCAGGTGTTCCCCACGGAAGGGAGACGCACGGCTCTGCGAGGAGGAGGCTGGGAAGTGCTGGGTGCTCGACGGGGCTCGGAAGAGTCACTGACCGTGAGCTGTGACACACGCATCCAAGGGAGGCTGCGGGTGGGGGCGTTTCCCCAAGTCACTCAGCCCCAGTGCGCCCTCTCCCCCCACCCCCCTTCCCTCCGGGAGCTCACTTTCAGCGGCTGCTCTGGCCCAGTGGAGTCACAGCTCCACATGGATATGCCTCCAGTAACACGGAGGTGGCGGGAAGAGGGCACCTCAACGATCGCAGCAGACACCTGGAGGTCTCTAGACCTGACCTGACCCCAGACCTCACCAATGATCCCAAAGACGCAGGCAAGCAGTCAGCCCAGAGAGGAGAGGCCCCCCTTTTCCGGAGGAACCCCGAAGCACCGGGCTTACTGAAAAGGGTTTTGGTTGCAGATCACTGTGAAGTGTTGTGGGCGGTCCATGAGAAAACAGTTTTCTCAGGGCTCCCCAGCTTTACCCACTCGCCGCGCTGTTAGAAGCTGCCTTTTCCCCACGCTCCACTCCCTCCCGCTGACTGTGGTCCATCGGCCCACAGGCTCCAGGTGTACCTGCGGGGAGACATCCAGGCATGCAGGTATGGTCTGCGTCAAAGCGCATCTGGTAGGGACCCCACGAGTGAATGGGGTGAGCGTGTTTCCAAGGAGACTGGCAGGGTGGGTCCTGCCCCCTGGGGCCCCCGGCTGGAAGGGATAGCCACACCCCCTCAACCCTTTCCTCCCCAGTGAGCTCACCTCCAGAGACTGATTCAGCAGGCACCACCCACCTGACACCCACCTGGGGCCCGCAGCCACTCACCACTGTGCTTGGCAGAGAGTGAGCCGCCCCTACGGCAGCTTGGTCCCTTCCTGCTAAACACGCCAAGTGTTCCTCCCAGTGTGAGGTCAAGGCCTGCTCACACAGCTGCCACTCACCACACACGTCCTTGCCCTTTGCAGGAGGTGACAGCCTCGGAAGCCGGTGACGGCCTCGCGCCTGCCTGGCCCTCCGTCTTCCCAGGCTGGGCAGCTCCAGCCTGGATGCCCCGTGGTCCCTTCTCGCCACCACGGCCGCTTGGCTCCAGCTGCTTCCAGCCAGGATTATTTTTTTTCCTTTGCTCGACTCAAAATTATTGTGTAAACCTGACCAGTGCAGACCTGATGAAAGGATCCCTTATCTCCTTCTAGACCTTGTGATAACTTGGCCTGAAAATTAAACAGCAGTTAATTTTGACAGGCCACATGCTCATTTCGTACACTATTATTTTCACTTTGATTGCTGCTGTAACAAGTTCCCACACATTTGGTGGCTTTCACAGCCCAGACTTAGCATCTTACAGACCTGTAGGTCAGAAGTCTGATACGGGGCTCAGCAGGCTGACACCGAGGAGCTGGCAGGGCTGTGTTCCTTCTGGAGGTTCTAAGGGAGGACCTGTTTCCTTCCTCAATCGCGTTGCTGCCAGAATTTAGCTCTTTGTGGCTGTGGGGCTGAGATCTCATCTTCATGCTGGCTGTCAGCTGAGGCCACCCACATTGCTTGGGTTGGGGCCCTCCTTCCGTCTTCAAAGGCAGCAAGGCTGGGCCGCGTCCCTCTCAGGCTTCAAATCTCTTCTTCCTCCGTCTCAGCTCGGAAAGAGTCTCCACTTTTGAGGACCACGATTACATCGGGCTTGCCTGGATAATGCGAGATCACCTCCCTACCTCAGGGTCCCCACACTGCATCCCACCTGCAGAGTTCCCTTTGCCGTGTAGTCACGTGCACACGTGTTCTGGGGATCAGCATGTGGTTGTCTCTGGTGCCGTGATTGTGTCCGGCCGCAGGCATGAGGTTCCCTGTCCACCAGCACTGCGACTCTGTCAGTCAGTATGAGAGTGTCATGTGACTGACGCGGGAGACAAGATCACATGAAAGTAAGTTCATGGTTAGACGGGTAGATGGTGGCTGATTCACACACCTCATAGTGAACCTACAGATAGAACTGGAAATTTCCAGTGGTGCTACGCTGTCATGTTGTACCTGTGTGGCTGACCACTCAAATCTAAGTGTAGGATCTTTCTG